TTCCATCTGTGTCCCCACACTCAATTTCTCAAAAATCTTTGGCACACCCCATCTTGCTGTTTTTTTGGGCCTCTTTCTGCACGTTTCACACTCCGAACGAAAGACAGCACAGGGTGTGAGGTTGCGCGTCACATACGTGTACGCGAGTGGGACGTACGAGAAGTCGTCGCCAAGATCGGAGGGAGTTATTTCTTTCCTCCCGAAACTCGGTGTTCTGGATTCGTTGGTGCGGGTTTTGTTATCATCGATACGCACTTCCCACCCTAGTCGTTGTTACTGCCCTTTAATGAATTAATCATCATACCGTGGAAGGCAGTGGAACCTCACTGGCCTAATACTCTGTGCAGCGATTGTCGCCGCTTCGAGCGCTACCAGGCCAAGGGATTCCACTACCGCACACATGTTGAGGACAAGCGCAAGGAAAGAGCCACTCGATTGAGGCCCTCCATGTCGGATTCGGAATTGTGTAGCGAACGCCGACGGGACCTCAGCCGCGAACGGGATACGACGTGTGTACCTGCCCCTTTTTACTCGAAACGTAGAGCGACGGCTCGCTGGGAAGTTCAACAGTACTTTTTGGATTGAATTTCCCGTAAGTGTGAGTCCCGCGCACGCCTTTTTCTCCCGTCAAACCCGCGCGGCGACGGACCTTCGTCTTGCTCCAATCGGACCAACAAGGGGAATTTCAGTTATGTCTGTGTCCCCACACTCAATTTTCCAAAAGTCCTTGGCACACCCCATCTTTGCTGCCTTTCCCGGGCCGCTTTCCGCAAACCAAAACACACCGACGGAAGGTAGCACAGGGCGTGAGGTTGAGCGTCACATAGGGATTCAGCCCCCTATGTGGCTATGACTGTGCCTCCTACGTGGCATTAGGGCCACCTGCAAATCGACATTTAGAAGGAAAAAAAAAACAAAAAAAAACATGACATTCATTCATCATCACAAGGGATATGGATTCAATGCCCTCCGTGGCTGTGATCTCACCTCCTACGTGGCATTACGGCAGCCAACACATCGACCTTTTTTGAAGAAAAAGAAACATGAGATCCATTCACCATCACAAGGGTTTGGGATTCGATCCTATCCGGGGCTGTGATCTCGCCTCCTACATGGCAATTGGTCACACGAGGGGTTGGGATTCGATCCCCTCCATGTCTATGATCTCGCCTCCTACGTGGCATTATGGCCACCTCCAAATCGACCTTTAAAATTTAAAAAACAAAAGCATGACATTTATTCGACATCACGAGGGATTGGGATTCGATCCCTTCCATGGCTATGATCTCGCCTCCTATGTGGCATTATGGCCACTGCAAATCGACCCCATTATGGCACCTAGACCTTTTTTGAAATGAAAAAAAACATGTCACTCATTCACTATCACACGGGGTTGGGATTCAATCCCCTCCGTGGCTATGATCTCGCCTGCTATGTGGCATTATGGCCACCAACACATCGATTTTTTTTTTTAAAACAACAGCATGACATTCATTCACCATCAGGAGGGGTTCGGATTAGACCCCCTGTGTGGCTATGATCTCCCCTCCTACATTGCATTATGTCCACCTGCAGATCGACCTTGAAAAAGAAAATAAAAACATGACATTCATTCGACATGACGAGGGGTCTGGATTCAATCCCTTATGTGGCTATGATCTCGCCTCCTACGTGGCATTACGACCACTGCAAATCGACCTTTAAATAGTCATAAAAAACATGGCATTCATTCATCATCACAAGGGGTTGAGATTCGATCCCCTCCATGGCTATGATCTCGCCTCCTACGTGGCATTACGCCGCCAACGCATCAACCTTTTTCGGGGAAAAGAAAACATCAGATCCATTCACCATCACACGAGCTAGGATTCGATCCCCTTCGATCTCACCTCCTGCTGAACAGGAGTGGTGATTTGAGCATACCCGAGTAAGCCCAGGAGCAGAGAGGGAGTGTAAGAGTGAGAGGAAGACCAAGTGAGAGAGAGAGAGAGGATGTGAGAGACTGTGAGAGAGAGGAGAGTGAGAAAGGGACAGCGCGTGTGAGAGTTGAGAGAGAAATACATGAATCTAGTCATATGCTAGATATAGATTCGTTGCAATGCCAGTGAATGTATGTGGTCAGGCTCCTGCAAAAGGAGGGGGCGGGAATAATTCATGCTCGTGAAAAGGCTCATGAAGGGCAGTGACCGCGGGAAAAGCCAGGGGGGGGGGGGGGGGGGGGGGGGGGGGGGGGGGGGGGGGGGGGGGGGGGGGGGGGGGGGGGGACAAGGTAAGGGAGAGAGCTGGAGACACTGGGAGTGCACAAGAGAGGTCGCCCATTTGAGAAAATGAGAGGGAAGGAGAGAGAGTTTGAGTGTGAGACAAGGAAAGGTAGAGTAAGAGAGAAGTGAGCCAGACCAGTGGAAAGAGTGAGGGAATAATAGAAACGGGGCGAAAAGGCCTAAATCTTATTTTTCTAAATATCAAGGACCTGGCTCCAGTGGTGACCAGATACATACATTCAAGCAATGGCAGTCAGCCTCCAGCAGTGCTCAACTGGTAAATCAGGTGAAGCATGAATATGCGAGAGAGATTATGTCCGTTCCATCCACACAGTCATGCACATCTACTGTGTGTGTGTGTGTGTGTGTGTGTGTGTGTGTGTGTGTGTGAGAGAGAGAGAGAGAGAGGGAAACTAGGAGAGCTTGCATGAGTGACGGAGAGACGAAGGCTGAGTGGGTGAAGACGTGAGAGAGGAGGGCATGCATCATCACTTTTGAGTTACATGCACCTGGCCCAAAGAGCAGCCAGGTACTTTCAAAATTGAGCATATCTGTGCCGGTTGAATTGAGAGAGCAGATAGCAGGACGATGTACTCGGAGAATATTAACTCGCAATCCTCCCGCGTGGAGAATGATCAAGCGCACTGTGTACAACATGACAGTGCACCTTCACTGATCATTCACATTATTTGATCGAGTGTGTAATCCATTCTAGCCGCGACACACAGAAGAAGAGAAAAAACGCCGTGCCGTGTATAGAGCTGCTAGCTCATAACATGGCTATGCATCTCCCCATGTTCCATCAGACAGCCCTGATGAGTCGTGATGACAACCTACTGGGGACGGCACACCGCCAAGTCATAGGGCGAACCAATCAGGTCCTCAAACACATCCGTAAGTCACATGGAACAACTGATCTGCCACCTCAGCCAAGCGCGTGAAACCGATCAGAGTCTGCTGAGATCATCTGGCCTTTCTAGAGCTGCTCGCATGTCTCGAATCTGCAGGCAGGGATGATTTAATTTATTTAAATTCATAGAGCTTAAATAAGGCTTGAGACTGATCTTCCTTCCACTGATTCCAGTCGATACTTGAGAAATCAAATGCATCGACAGCTGTCTCCGCACTCAAAGCTCACAGCTGATCGGGACGTCGCAAGGGACGCATGTGCGAACGACCCCAAGTGAAGGCCGTGCCCTCGCTGCAGTTGGTTGATACTCTACCCATAGAGTTTCCCCCAAATTTCACAAGTGCCCCTAGGATTGGACCAAATTTAGGCAAAGACACCCCATTGCAATCATTAATCTGCTCGACTCTCAAACTCAAGAAAAGCACCCTTGATGAGACAGCGAACGATAGGTGAAACTTCCTTGCTGTTTGAGTTTTGACTTTGACGCCTTCATCTTACATCCAAAAGCTCAAATTTGCCCCTGCAAATCTGAGAATCGACGGTGATCTCCTCGGAAAGGATTTTGAGCCATCTCTCAGGTCTGCGGGCAGGAAGTTCTAATTTGATTTTCCCTCCCTTTTATATTCATACATCAACCAGTTATTAAAGGACAAACAAAAATTTTTACCCTGGGAGAGAGGGCGTGACAGGCAACGCAACCCCCTAACCCGTCTCCCCCCCTAACCCCTGTCTCCCCCCTAACCCCTACCCCCTGTGTCCGTCGTTGAGGGCCTCGGCAGCGGGCGCAGGGGGTGGCAGCCACTTCAGGGACGAGCAGCGTTGAGTGTGTGTCTACAAAGACCACCACCTGTACACTCCTGATGAGGGTACATTGTGTTCGGGGGAAGACAGCAGTGTGAGTATATGCCTGAGCGCCTGACCATTCAAAAAAATCACGACAGCAGCACGAGGATCCCTAAGAGATCGAGCAAATCAGGACCATCCAACGGCTTCACACACTCCAGAACTGCTCTCGAGGAACAGCTCTGTATCATCAATCAGCGCAGTATCAACTCAGCTACCGTCTTCCCCCGAACATAACGCACCCTAAAAATGAATGTATACAAGCTATATTTCCGGCCAGATGCACCCAACATAAGGGCGCGTTGTGTTCGGGGGAAGACGGCAGTCTAACCTAGACCCTGATTTCGATCTTCATGTCCATTTTAATGTCTGCATTTGAGAACACGCAGTCTTAACCTAGTTAGACACTATGATTTCGATCTTCTTCATGTCCATTTTCATGCGCCTTCACTCGTGAACACAAAGCGAGTCCTCTCACTACTACCACTGCTCGTGCGCCTTCACCTTTTTTTTTCTTTTTTTCTTTTTTTGCCTTCACTTCGTTTTTCTTTTTTTTTTTTTTTTTTTTTTGTTTGCCTTCACCTTTTTGCATCACCTTGCTTCATTCGAATACTTCTCTTTGAAATGTGCATATATATGTTTATATGTTTTCAAAGCTTCAGTCATTTGCATGTAATCACGACTCCAACCCCCATCCATTCTTCTTTTGTGCAGGCTTCGTAACTTGCGACTGTTTCTTTTTTTTTTTTTTCCCTCACATGAAGACTTACATTAGGACTTTCCTGGAGGCATCTGACTGCAATCATAGTCGGACCATAATGCATCTGACTGTAATCACGTCCAGAGCTCATTCAAAAAGGTTCCAGTGTGAGCACACGCACTGAGCAACGCAGGCAACCCGAGCACCAAGARGGCACTGATAACGAGATATAAGCATGGATGGAAGGGAAAAAGGAATCCGAACGAGARAGAAAAGGGATGAACAGAGACGTCATTGTGAAACAAGTCCAGAGCTCATTCAAAAAGTTTCCAGTGTGAGCACACGCACTGAGCAACGCAGGCAACCCGAACACCAAGAAGGCACTGATAACGAGATATAAGCATGGATGGAAGGGAAAAATGAATCCGAACGAGAGAGAAAAGGGATGAACCGAGACGTCATTGTGAAACGAGATACATGGACCAGTTAACTATGCATTGAGGACAGAGAACAACAACTCAATTTTTTACACTTTCCCGAAAAAGTAACCAAAAAAAAAAGCACTGATGACGACGGGATGATACTGCCCCGCCCAGATGTAATTCCGTACGATCGCCCCCAACACAGAAAAGACCTAGAACGCCTCGTCCGCAACTGCTTGCCTCTCTCCTCCTCCTCCTCCTCCTCTTCCTTCCCCTCTCGCCTTTCCTCCTCCGGCTTTCAACTCCCAAAAAAAGACGATCTCCTCAGCACCTCCACAGCGGGAGTCATCGTGGCCTGCGCAGCAGCAGTCGCACAGGAGAGAAGATAGTCGAATTTGTCCGCACCCCATTCTCATCTTTGTCCGCACCCCATTCTTATCTTTGTCCGCACTCCACTCTCATCGCCATTGTCTTGAACAGGAGCGAAGTCCTGAGCTGCCTACCACGACCAGTCCCACTTACAGTAGAGATCCTTGTGATGGGCTTCGCACACACTCCACTCGCGCACGTGATACTTTGGCATCGGTGCCATCCCCGTACAGCTGCCTCTCTAACGCGTCAAGCCATCCAAGACGATCCACTCACTTCAGAGATAGTAATGGACAAGCACTAGCAAGCATGCTAATAAATAGACAGATCAGTCTCGAGCATAAGTAGGGCAGCAACACCTCCATGCGCGCCTTTGTGTACGTGTGTGTGTGCGTGTGTGTGGGTGATGGTTTTAGGTATGGATGAGTGTGCGTGTGTGATGCGTGTGTGATGCGTGTGTATATCTCTGTGTGCGTGCGTGCATCCGTGTGTGTGTGTGTGTGTGTGTGTGTGTGTGTGTGCGAGTGTGACTGTGTCCGAACACACTCATACACAGACTTCAAGCAGACCCTAGCGGTCGTAGGTCTTTATCCGACTATTCACCCATCTCAACCAAATCAGCACAGCAACGATTGCATCTATCCAATAGACTAATCCCTTTGATTTTATCTCCGCTATCTGTGCGGAGCGTCTCCACTACCGGACTGAATGGCTCGTCTGCGCAAATCGCCGGGGGAGGGGGGGGTGCACATGAGGCACATTCTCTATCACGAACAGCAATTACTTAATCAGGCTCATGCGTCCCAACAGTGAGTAAACTGCCATACCGACGGATTCGGTAGTAAGAATAAACAGAGAGGATGCGGCGAACAGTCCAAATAGTGCGCGAACGCAAAAAGACTTACGAAGCGACGACACACGGCGTTTTTTTCTCCGCCTGTGTGCAAAGAGCAGCAATTTCCATGCATCACTTCCCCACATGCTCAGAAGTCGATTTCATACACATTCTTGTAACGTCTTCACATACACACAGACAAAGAAATTGCGAAGAAATGCATTGAATCGGACATCACTACGTTCCCCCCCCCCAGCTCTTCTCGCTCTCTCTCTCTCTCTCTGTGTCACACACACACAAACAGCAACGGAAAGATATTGAAATGAGATGCATCGAATCGGACATCACTCCTCCCCGCAGATCGTCTCTCTCTCTCTCTCTCTCTCTCTCTCTCTCACACACACACACACACATACACTAAACACACAAAAAGCAACGGCAAGAGATTGAAATGAGACGCGTCGAATCGGACATCACTGCGTTTCCCCGCCGATCCCCTCTCCTCCCCCCCAAAATGCTCTCTCTCTCTCTCTCTCTCACTGTGTGTGTGTGTGTGTGTGTGTGTGTGTGTGTGCGGCAGAAAACCCAGACTTTATTCCCTCATCTACATGGCTGGGTTTACGTTACGTCGCCACGCCGCCAAGCGAATGAAGTAGTACCTCTGCTGCACTCAAGGAGAATGTAAGTAGGCAGACGCGGATTAAACCCGCTCTCCACAACTCCACGCTTTCGTCCGCGACTTCAGTAAGGAGAGAATCGAACGAGCGATTTTCCACGTCGGGCCTACGCATCGTAGGGATACTGAGTGCCTCTGATCAAAAGAGTTCTATCTCCCCCCTCCCCTGATCATAACACGACTGCCAGGGCTTACATGCAGGTCAATGAATGCAACCGAAGCGACGACGGTACAAACAAAAGAGGTGTACACCCGTAGCACCCATGCGGAGGTAGTCGAGAGCGCAAACGAGCGGAGACTGATAGCCTACTTTTCGTTTGATTGCTAATTATAGAAGACATCAATGAAAAATGAATATGGGGAGAGCGGCTCACGACCGATTTCTGTATGAAACAAGAAACAAAAGCTGCCGGAGAAGGTTCGCTACCAAACGCTACGCTAAACCGTAATCAACGAATACAAAGAAGAAGAAGAAGAAAAAGATTGGACCGCTCATGATGATTGGATAAGGAAGCTTTCCCACATGATTGGACATCATCCGCGATAATCTACCTCCGAAAATGAACTTGAGTAGACGCTGACGACAAGCCCCCGGGCATCAAGACGACGACGAATCCTCTGATAGTGGGGACTTCTTCGCGCTCATGCAGTTCAAGAGCAAAAAGCTGATAGAGCGCCCGCGCCAGCGATAGATTCACCGACAAACAACGCGCAGCCGTCGTGCACATAAAACACCCACTGTTCACAAGACGGCAGCAGCAGCCGGTTTCGTATCGAGGATACGAAACCGCAACACGGACCAATGCATCTTCACAGCTCTTCACACGATCCTTTTCCATACTACCAGTGACTAAACTTGTAAAAATATATCCACAGAAGACACAGTTCTCCCCGCCCAACTCGCTGGCTTCACCTTTACCAAACCCAAACCCAATTTTTTCTACAACGTTCAACTTCCAACTGCTTCTCCTTTCCCGCCCATCTTCTCAATGCCACTCTGCTTCCGCAAACAGCTCCTACCTTTCTCTCTTCCGAACCCGCCAAAACTTTCTTTCTCTCATCCGAAAACCCGCCAAATTTTTCGCGCTCTTCCGAACCCGCCAAAATCCTTGTCCCTTCCGAAAGACCGCCAAATCTCTCGCTCTCTTCCGAGCCCGCCAAAATCTTTCTCACTTCCGAAAACCCGCCGCCAATTCCTTCCTTTCTCACTTCCGCCCCAAAATCCTTCTCCCTTCCGAAAAACCGCCAAATTTTTTGCTCTTCCGAGCCCGCCAAAATCTTTTCTCACTTCCGAAAAACCGCCAATTCTTTCCTTTCTCACTTCCGAAACCGCCAAAAACTTTCTCATTTTCGAACCGGCCAAAATCTTTTCTCACTTTCGAGCCGAGCCCGCCAACAACATCTTTTCACACTGCCGCCGTCTGCCGCCGTCTGCCTGTGGTAGAAAGATGCCACCATATACCTCACAAACGCAAAACGGTACACGAGACCGATATTTTCACACTGCCGTCGTCCGCCTGTGGTAGAAAGATGCCACCATATACACCTCACACACGGAAAAGTAGGCTACATCCATCGATGACTGTGATAAGCAAAACGGGACGACGGCAGAAATGCATCCGCTCGTCGGTGCGGCGTTCGCGCTGCGGTGCGTTCCCAATATAGCAAAATATATGGTAAAATACCGTACATACCGTACATACCGTACATACCATACATACCGTACATACCGTACATACACACCCGATCGAGCGCCCATAGGCGGCGGCCCATCGGCCGCCGCGCCAAGGGGAATGAAACCGCCGACTCCATCGAGCCTAGCAGTCATGTATCAGATCGCATACATCCATCTCATCAAAGCCGGTGAGTCAGACGCTCGGAAGAACGAAGAGATGACAAACCTTGTACAACATGGCCAGGATCAATGATGTCTTCTTCCCGCCCCTTAGTCGAAAGCCGTTGCTGAAGAGGATGCATGAAGAAGAAGAAGAAGAAGAGAACACATGACGCAAGAAATAGCCAGTGAAACCTCTATAAATGAGATAACTGGCTCTTCTTGTCATTATCGTTCTGACTGGATACAAAAAACCAACCACCTCTCATAGCAAACTCTGGCTGGCTCCCAGTGTCCCTCTTCTCTGTCCCGGCGCTCCTTCTCTCGCGCAGTCGTCTTGATCGACACGCAAATCATCTCAGCTTACGTCTGGCCTCAGCTTTACCTCTTCTCCGATGGACAAAATATATAACAGAGTCCGAGATAAGCTTCCTCTCACATAGTCCGAAATCAGCTCTCCTCTCATATGCCACATGTCATCCATCCATCCATCCATCCATATTTCGATGGCAATTCCAGACCACGACGACGTTCGTCTCTCGGCTTGCACAAGGAAGACCACACACATCAAAGGCCGCCAGTGCAAATGAAGAGAAGCTGAAGCTGCTCTCTCGATCAATTCTGCATCCAAGGCAACGACTCAGTCCAACGAACCACGTTCGCCCCCCGCATGCGAAGAAGAAGAATAACATTTCATGCATCACGCTTGCAAGTACAATCAAGAACTCTCGCCGTTTCCCGCCGTTTCCCGCCGTTTCCCGTCGTTTCCCGCCGTTCCCGCCGTTTCGCGCCTTTTCCCGCCTTACCTGTGTCCATTTGCCCATTCCACAGATCTACCACTCCGAATTCTCTCCTCCTCTCCCCCCCCCCCTCCTTCGTGAAGGCAACAAACAATACATGAAAAACGTGACCACGGCGAACCCGCCGACCCAGCTGGAGATTCATAGCGACTGCCATTCTCTCACCCATCACGGAAGGCAGTAAGAGAGAGAAATAGAGGAGAGAGAGAGGTGAGCCATCACTACTTCCCATGCTCTTTCCGTCCGCTCGCTCGCTCACGCGGACTCTCTCTCCTCCTCTACACTTGCTCTCTTCCTCGCACTCTCCCTCTCACGTCCGCATGAGACTTTGAGAGTACGGAAGGCAAGCGTACGTAGGCGGGTCTTCTGCAGCGCTGCGACAAACGAGGAGCGTCGCCATCCGCCCCAGCCTCATCGTTGCGCATCACCACGCTTCGCCTCCACTTCCTCCTCCAACTTCGCGCGAGCTTACCTTCCTTATTTCCCCAATAGAATGTACGGTCATTACAGCTGTGTGGTTATATCTATATACAGCGAGAATGACCGTTCGTTCTATTCCGGCGAAGACGGACGGCAAGATCAGCAGGACGTGATCTTAACTTTCCCAAGTAGTAAACCATAGTTCTCCCCCTTGTTGCCTTGTTCTACTTCAGCGGCAATCCACGCAGTCACACGTACAATCAATCTCAATTACTCACACCAGCCTCTTCCTCACTTCAAGTCGTGTCATCATATAATAACAGGCGTGATCTTTACTAGATGCATACGCGTTCGCCTGATTGATTGCAGGAACAAAGCAGGGTGGCGCCGGGAAACATCTTATGCGCTACATATCTGGGAAATCGCAGTGGGACCTAAGCACACAACCACACCAGCCTTTCCCTCACAACCGAAGAGATTCCCGCTCTTGGTCAAGGTCGCCCATCGCCCGGCCGAGAGATCGGAACGGCGGAAGTCGCCGTGTGTCAGCACCGAACGCGAGCCAAGTACTCCCTCTGCTACTGCTATCGCCGCTGTCGCTGGTACTGCAGGAGCCTGAGAGAAGCAACCAAACCAAACAAATTGGTGGGGCTGCTGACTAGGCAGAACAAGAACCGAGGACACGCAACAAGTACTTGGCGCCACCGCCGCCGGACATCGCCTTCCGACAGACAGCGCGTGGCGGCGGCTGATGCTCCCCCAGCCCGAGTGTTGGTGTTGGTCCAACGAGCAGAGAGGGGAGGGGGGGGAGGTAAAGGCGGGAGGAGACCTAATAGCTTGCCATCACGCTTGCGATGCTCAGCAGCCTCGAGAAGGAGCGGAGATGGAGCAAGCCTAGCCCCTCCCTCTCCTTCCGCCGTCTTGCCGAGTTCATCCGCGACAGCCGCATCAAAGCGCGGAGGAGACGCGAGGCAAGCAAGGCCTTGCCTCGTGCGTTTGTTACTGACATGATCTGACTGCCACACCCCGGAATATGCCCCGGGGAGGGGAACAGTTCATTAATATGGGTCAATGAACAGACACGAAGGGCCCGCACATTCCCAGGCTTTGCGCTCGACACTCTCGAGGCACTGTCTCGTCAGTCCGGTGCAGCCGCGGAGGTTTAAAGCCCACAGCTGACCGAACATGGGGAACAAGCGCGGGATGCATTTACTCGTAAGCCCCGGACAGGCGGCGAAGGACAAAGTCTCCAGACCCTTCTCTAACGCGTTGGCAATGGCACTGACACCTTCGTCGGTGATGGCTGTGCGAGAGAGATCGAGGTCCTTGAGGCTGCAGCACTTCTCAGCAACCATGCGCGCCGTGCGATCGGTGACCTCGGGGCAACCGTCCAAGGTCAGTCTGATGAGCCGCGACCCGCAGTTCCTCAGCACGGCTTGCGCCCCGCCGTCGGTCACCCTCGAGCAAGCGGTAATGACGACAGACTTCAAGGATTTACCGCACCCCTCCGCGATCACGGCGATTCCTCGGTCTCCGACGCCCGGCAGGCTTGTCAACTCGATGTGCTCCAACGTCGGGCACTGGCGCCCGATTGTAGCGAGGCAGGCGGTGCCCACGAGAGTGCAGGAGGAGATGTGCAGAGACTTCAACGCCCTGATGGATGCAGGCGGCGCCGAGGGCGTCGCGGGAAGACCTCTGTCCCGGATGCCGTTGCAGCTGGTAATCCAGAGAGACTGCACGCGGCAGTCTTCCTGAAGGAGCGCACGGAATCCGACCGGCGAGATTCCCGGGCAATGACCGAACTCCAGCGCTTCAAGGGACTTACAGTTCTTGACGAGCGCCTGCACTCCCTCCGAGCCCAGCGCCGTGCAATCGTCCACGCAGAGGCGCTTCAACTCCACACACCCTACCCCCACAGCCTCCATCACGCGATTGGACATGGCGACGCAGCCCTGGATGACGATAACACGCAGGCCCCTCAATCCCTGGGTGGTCCCCAGCGCCACCAACCCCTTCTCCGTGGGCTTGGCCATCCTGACAAGCGTGAGCTTAGTCAGAGACGAAGATCTCGCCCCCAGCGCGAGGAGACCGTTGTCGCCCACTCCCACGTTGTTCAGCGTAAGTCGCCGCAGCGATGTGCAGCCCCCCGCCACCGCCTCCACCCCTGAGTCTCCCACTCTCTCACAGTTGCTCACGGTCAGCGCGAAGAGGTTGCGGCTGCACGCACCCACCTTCTCCAGAGCTTCGTCGCCGATCCGAGGACACGTGTCAACGATCAGCTTGCGCAAGAACAAGCAACCCTGCGCGATGCCTTGTAAGCCCTTGTTGCCTATCTGGGAGCACTTGAACAAGTGCAGCTTCTCGATCAGCCGACAGCCTCTCCCAACGGCGGCCAACCCTTCATCGCTGATGTCGTTACACTCGAAGAGAGACAGGGACTCGAGAGCGCCGCAGCAACTTCCGACGGCCGAGATCCCGACGTTGGACACCGACACAGGCACCCTCAGCACGAGACTGCCCAGCCCCCCGCGTCCGACCAGCCCGAGTGCCAGCGCTGCTAACCTTACGTCGGTCGCCTTTCGCCCTTCCAGACACCTGGACAGGTCACCGGCCATCCACGACGCGCCGTTGCTCTCCTCCTCTCCGTCGTCCGACTCCGCGCCTTCCTCCCCCCCACCGTTATTGCCCCCCGCCCGGCTACGTCCACCCTCCTTCTTGTTGTCCACTAAAGGCCGACGCCTCGACGTCGGCGGGGAGGCATACCGTTGATCCCCAGCCCCTTCGCCATCGCCATCCTCCCCTCCTTCCCCTCTCCGCACTCCCCCCTCCGCCCTCCTTACCTTCCACGGCCCCGGCCCCTCCCGCACGGACAACGCATGTCCGCCTTCCCCTACTCCGCCGCCGCCACCGGCACCGCGCCTCTTCCTGTTTCCCCTCCTGTAACACTCCCACCGCATGTGCGACTGCAGCATCAACCACCGCATGCACACCAGCGCGCACACGCTTCTGTCCCGCGGGTCGTCTAGCTCGGCGAAGATGTTGCAAAGGACTTCGTCTGGCAGCGAATTGATCAGATCTTGCGAGTCTCGTTCACGGATGGACGCCACGTCGGCTTCCCGAAGCACAGACACCACGGCGCCTTCATCTGCTGAAAGGCGGGAAGTTTGGGAGGATGAGAACGAGGAAGGGGAGCAGGAAGAACTCGAGAACGGCGAAGACGAGGAGGAAGGAGGAGGGGAAGGCCGTTCACGTAAACGATAAGGCGAATAAGCGTCGTCGACGATATCTTCACGCGACGCAGGACTGCGAACCTCAGCATCTTCTGCATGCTCTGCTACCTGATCATGATGGTCTCGACGCTGATGAGAAGGGCCGTTAAGACGCTTCTGTTGCTCTTGCTCTTGCGATTGCTCTTGATGATGATGATGATGATGAGGATGATGCCGCTGATGGGTGAGATTACCGGCCATCTCTAAATCTGCCCCAAGTCGAACTGCGGAATACGGCGAGAGACGTGGGAAAGTGTAGACCACACGCTTGCGCTTACAGCTAGGAGGATACTGTACGCTACTTGTACTACATCTCTTGCCACTCGCATTGTCCTCTGCTGCTCCATCATCACGATAGTTCTTGATCTCGTCGTCGCCGCCTATCGTTCCGCCGATTGGCCCATCATCTAGCCCTCCCGGCCGGTGACGGACTACTTCCTGCTGTTGATATTGCTGCTGCTGCTGCTGCTGCTGCTGCTGCAGCTGCTTCTGTGGTCGCTGCGCCTCCTCCTCCCCTTGGCGCGGATTCACATCGTAGACCTCGTTATGAGGCGACTGTGCGGGAACAGCCTCCAGTAGTTCCACTGGGAGCTTGACGGGAAGATGCCTCGAGAATTGGGGGGATGCCCGATTACGTGGCGAGCCCCCGAATCCAAATCCCCCGCACATCTTGACCAACCTACACGGGCCGTTGCAAGCCCCCTCTTCCTTCCTACCTACCCCCGCCTCTGCTAGTTCCTCACCTTCCCACCTTCCACCTGGTCTCCTGCTGGCTCAACCCGAAGCCCAACGCCGAGGCTCACGGCGAGTTTATATCACTTGTCGCTTTCTCCTTCTCAGCAGAGACATCCTTCGTTCAATGGCGCAATCACAGCAGAGCGACTTGCGAGCGTAATCGATAGGAGCGAAGAGGACACAGGTAAACGACACAAGCGACGCATCACGCGCCAGGCGGAGATAAGAAATCGCGTGTAAGAACGAGGGCGACAGGGAAGACGACAGAAGGCGGATTTGGGCGACCAGTAGACGATGTCACGACATCTCACACCGCGGTTCAAGGTGTCCGAAGAGAAGCTAGGCAAGGAGGCAAGCTCAAGAATGAAGGGGAAGACCCGCCCCCTGCCAAGCGCAAAAACTGAAGCTCTCTCTATGTCTGGGCGCCGAGATCTTTCGAGACGAGCGGGAGGTAATACAAAAGAGACGAGGGCTCGCGCAGGTGCATTGGCTGGGAGAGCACGCTACGTGGGCTAGTTCGCCTCTAGTTCCCTCGTCTTCCCTGCTGAGGCTACTGCTTTTTGCCCGAACTGAAACGATGGCAAAAAAATCTACTTCCTGAAATGGAGTCGAGACGCTCGGGTGGCTCGGGAGTCCCAAAGAAGAGAGAAAACGAAAGAACAGAGAAGGAAGAGCCACCCCGGATGCGACTCAGGGATTCCCGTCGGCGGCGGTGTAGGGCGAAGCAAGGCAGGACCAAAGGCTAGAGATCGACGTCGTAGTAGAAACGAAGAGGGAACGCGAGAGCGGAGCACAAACGAAGAAAACGACGATGGATGGGTAGGTAGGCAAGTAGGTAGGTAGGCAAGTAGGTAGGTAGGTAGGTAGGTACCTTTACAAGCAGGTACCTACAGAGTCCTAGATTCTGGGAGCGAGACCCTCTCTCTCTCTCTCTCTCTCTCTCTCTCTCTCTCTCTCTCTCTCACACACACACACACACACACACACACACACACACGGCCAAAAGTTCAAGTTGTGCTTGCCAACTCGCCGCACTGCTGATAATAAACCCAAGAAACGCAGCTGGTTTAAAACAAGTATGTCGAGGCAAGTACGCAGAGCGAACACAACTGAACACCCCGCCCCCGGCTGCTACCCCGAAGACGTGCTGTTTCGCCGTGTAAAAGGACAGGTATCATCGAACCACACGAGCTCGGCCCGGCCACCGTTTCTCAATCGAGCCAAAATTTCCCGCGTTTCTTCTACTGCCACCAGCCCACGACGACCTTCCCCACGATCAATTGTTGTTGAGCCAGGGCCGACGCTGAACAATGCCAACCTCTGCGCTCCACAACACCGCCACTTCTTCCTCCCTGTCCGCCGCTTGCTGTCCATCGTTCAGCCGGAAAGGAATAGATCCGATGAATCCGGAAGAGAACGGCGGAGAGGCGGGGGAGCGAAGGCGCGAGAGGCGGGACAGCGACGACAAGAAACGGCCTCGACGCACACAAACCTGTAACCTGCACCGGTACAACGCGGAGCCGTCCCGGAGGAGAGCAGGGGGAGCCAGCCGCCCGCCGGGAGCGGTCAGAACGTACCCCACCGCTGGGCAGGGCAGGCACAAGCGCAACCGCCGGCGAGAAACGCCCTATCACCGACGACCTCGCTTCCTGATTCCAGTCACAATTCCGTGAACATGGCGCAGTACAATGTCTCCTCCTTTTTTCTTCCCTTCCCTTCACTTCACTGCTCCCCGACGTTGGCGATGGATCTGGCCATCAACAAGGATGGATTCCTGGCTCCGCGCCCCTCTCCCCCCGGCCCGCCCCGCCCCGCACCGGCCTCGTCATTCCCCCTGTCTACCGCATGACGCGCGGTGACTGTACAGCTACTACTTCCGCTGCTTTACTTGGAATATGCCCGCCTTCCCTCTTTCGCCTACGATCACAACAACCTGCCCACGGACAACGAACGCGCGCGCGCGCGAGCGCAAGCACGCAGGAGCAACGCGCGCGCGAGCGAGTGGGAAGCAAATGTGGGAGCGCTCAGGCCGCACTCCCCTATTCCCACGCGGCGCGCATTGCTCGACCAGCGCACCTGGTCCGCCGCCCGGCGGGCTCCGCCTCCGCGAACGCAATTCTCTACCCCCCGCCGGCCCCCTCCATTGCATCTAATGGCGGGGTCAGCGAACCCGCGCCAAAGCCGGTCTGGCGCTCACTCCGCCATCGGTTGAACGGTTGCCCTCCTGCTGCTGCTCCACATCGCCCCACTGACGGCGATAGGCAGTCCGCCCAACCGACCGACCGACCGATTGGCAGCACACAAGCATCGAATCGACCCAGGTTCGAAGTTCTTCTTCCCATACATCGAGCTCGGAAACGTCTCCTCTGTAGCTTTGCCGGATCTATCTACAGATCCGATTGATTGGGTGGAATCATATCATCTCCCACGTTGGCGAGCCCGCCCACCAATCAACCGCCCGATATCCGACCATCAGCTGCCGCGCTGTACTGTGTGCGCACCCGCAGTCCCTCCCCTCCCTGAGCTCTGCGGGACGTCACTCATCGCCGCTGTTTACCGTCGTCGTCGGGCCATGTTCACACGTCACACCCCCCAAGTCCTTTCCGACTTTCCGACTGCATCTGCCCGCCATCCTCGGGGGCCAAGTCCCACCTACCCCAAATCTCTTTTTTTTTTTTTTTTTTTTTTTTTCCGACCATAAACTAGGAAGATCGACGCCCAAGAATGAAAGATCAGCGTAAGTGGGACTTGGCCCCGGATCAGGAACGTTCCAGAGGAGACGTCGTCGTTTGAATGCGTTTGCGTTTCGTAGAGGCCGTGCCCTGCCCTGCCTGCCGCAGCTCCGGCTGCTCGTAGCTCTCGGGGTTATTATGTAGGTAGGCAGTTGCACAACTCGCTATCCTTCAATATTATGAACGCATCTGCGCTAAACAAGTGTCGAAATGCATTCAAAACAAAAGCTTTTTTTTTTTTCTCTTTTTTTTTTTTGTTTTTTGCAAATCAAAAGCTGGCCGACGGCGGGCGGCGTGTAGTGCACCAAAAAAAAACAAAAAAAAACAAAAGAAACAAAAACTAGGCCCTCAGGCGAAACAGTCATAAATGACACAAGAGGATAGGAATAGACATAGAAATAGAGGCCAGATGGCTCTTCGTGAGAGAGGGCCTCGCTGAACTACTCTAGCGGAAGATTCACTCTCGTCTTGCACATTTCGAGAGTAGCGCAGCGAGGCCCAGAGAGTCGATCGACAACAGAACATATGACTGCTCGCGAGTGCGACAGGCGATGAGCTGAAAGACTGGGACAGGTTCCACTTGGCCCGGAGTCTTCCTTTCTGGCCCTTCGATTATCGAGAGATCTACGGCCAGAAAGTGAGAGTTCGGGTGAGAGGGACTTGACGTCGGAGGGGAGGGGGAGCGGGGGCAAAATCGTAGTTCCAGACAAGGGTAGAAGGATGCCCTGTGACTTCGGTGTCGAAATCAAAAATTAAAATCGAATGCAATACGTACCATTGAGACGCTACCATGGTGATGAACGGCCGTAGGAGCACCTGGCGTGGGGCTGGTTTGACGACTCCTCCCGTGATTGCATATTCGAGAGCGCTTCGCGCCCATCTGAACACGAACTGTGATTGGATGATCGACCTGATTCTTCGTCTTCGGGCCTCGCCACACCACTGTCGAAACGAACAGAGAACAAATGCATCTTCCCGCGGAAAGTGCTAAGATGCGTCCGTTGCTATTCATATCAACAGATGCAATTCTGGCCACTTTTGGGGCAAGATGCACTAGTGCTTTTTGTTTTCGTTTCGACAGTGGTGTGGCGAGGCCCTTTTTATTTTCTCTCCAGGTTCACCTGAGAAATAGGATATATTCGTGAAAAAAAAAAAAAAAAAAAGGATATATACAGCTTCACAATTCTTGGCCGCCATTACCGGAATTCCGCCCGGAAACACGCTCCGCTGCATCAGCGGGGGCGGAGCCGCACCCGAGCGCATCTTACCACGCGCATGCAGCGGAGCCTCACCCCAGCGCATCTTCACGCACAAGGTCTCAAGGTACATCACCTACTATTCGCCGTGGTTGGTGTATATACCTGCACCTTCTGTGTCAATTAGAAGATGCACGCGGCGCTTTTCAGGATTAGATTCACTCGGCGCTTTTCATGTTTCCTGAGTAGTTCGGCGGTTCGTGAGTAGTGCGGCAAGGCTGATGATGAATTTTCCAGAAAATGACCTCCGAAAAACAAAAAAAAATATAAAAAAAAAACAAAAAAAACGACCGCCATCCTTCGGGACATCCGAGAAGCATGGCCCCTGACATGCTTAGGGTCAGATCCCACTACCCTGGATTATTCATTTTCCACCCTCGATTACGAATATCAACGGTCACGAAAAACGAACAATAGGGGCTAGTGGGATCTGGCCCTAAATCGAGAAATGGTAAAATAACGACAACTCTGTAACAGCAACGCGCAGAAAAATGACCGAGGAAAAAAAAAAAAAAAAAAAAAACGACCGAGGTCCCACTCACTATCAAAGAGGATTTGAATTTCATGCCTGGGTCTGGAAGTTTTTGGCGGAGCGGTGCAGAAAATCGCCATCGATCTGCTTTTCTGACTGAATCTCTCCAAAAACCTATCCACATTCCGGCGCCTAATCCATTCCTTTTAGCGACTGGGACCTCGCGCCACAAGCTGGACCTATAACAGTTCCAAAGTCGCGACAAAAGCCACTCCGGGGGACGGATTGGCACGCGACTTCTGCGGCGCTCCGTCACCTGCGTTGTTCTCGCGTGGCTTTTCGCTCAGTGTAAGATCTCACCATAGCTATCCAACCTTCGACCCGGCGGGGCGAAGGTAATGATGAGGAGTTAATCCCAATGCATATGTTTTTGCTTTGGTAACTCCATCAGTGGAAAACACCTCCCCCAAGCGATCGGCCTCCCAACAGTTCCAGTGGAACGTCCCGCTACAGATTTTCATCCAAACCTACAGCGACACTCAGCCCCCTTCTCTTCCAAGTGAAGCTACTGCTTGTAGTGTGGTTTTTCATCGATCCTTCCAAGGGATGCTCTCCTACTCAATCGGGGTAACAATCGACCTCCTTTCGGCGCAGCTGCAAGATTTCTCGGCGTTATCGTATTTTGCACGCATTGAACCAGAGACGGAAGCCCGGCTGGGGTAAACTCAATTCTCTTACCTTCCTTCCCCCGCCCTTTGCTTTGATTGCATTTATTTACTATAGTTTCATCCTATCCTGCTGGCCCCGATCTCCTCTCTGTACTAATTTGGAATTACCCTGGAGATAGCACTCCACATACGTTTCCCGATAAAGTATTCTTACGCCCTGTCTTCCACTTTTCAAAAACAGTCGGCCCCGGTTGGACCAAGTAGTTAATACCTAATTTGGTATTCGGCCCTAACCCTCAAATCCCGTAGATGCCAGGGGCCCTGTTTCTCTTTTTATTCGCGACCGCTACGCGAACCTCTTCCGGGAAACACTATTATTGTCTTGCCACTCTCACTTTTTAATTTTTGTCATTTTCCGTGTAATAGCATACTCGGTGCTCTAATCGGAAAACTCACATACACCCCCCCGCCCACCGCAATCCCATCCCAGTCCATCACTCCCGCCTCACAACACGACCACATCCGACCGCACTAACTCACTCCTTCTCGCTCTCGTACCTCGTCCCTCCACAACCCTCCCACTCCAACGCAGCCAAGGTCCTACCCCTAGTTTCCCTGCTGGATCATCCTCATCTGGTCTCTCGTCATACACTCCCGAAGTTTCCCCCGACCAGAGCCAGGGCCGGAACCCGCTCCCTCTCTCCGACCGTATCCATCCCCTGGCCCGCCCGTTATTCCCCAAT